AATGCGCGATGGGTACAAATGCGTCATAACCGGGGAAGTGGACCGGAAGCATGTAGCTAAAGTGAAGACCAGGACGGGCTTAGGAAAAACGGAAGCAGCGCATATCATTCCCTTCAGTCTGAACGACTTCGAGGAGACGGATGTTCCCATGGTGCGCTTCAATGGCTTCATATGCGCTCCGAGAGACTCTAATACTCAGCCAATGTGACAGACGGCCAACAAGACCACAATATGGACAGCCTTACAAGCATTCTCTGGTCATCTGCTGGACGGTCCCAAGGGCGATGACATCAACTCTCTGGGGAACGTGCTTACCCTTGAGGCCTCCATGCATCAGATGTTTGACGAGCTTGTACTGGCCCTCGAATCCATAGAGGTGAGTCTCCCTCTCGTTTGTTAGCGAGTATATTATGATCGGGTGGCCACAAATAAGGCGAAACCTAACGTTAATGCATTCTCACTTGGGGTTACGCGAAGCATTCTTACGATCTACCCGAATTCGTCACTTTAAGTGACCATTCCAATTCCGGGAAGGCGTTGGGAAGCCTTTCTATTTCGCAAATTGCATTGTCATCCCTCATACCCATGGTCTTGTTTCATTCAGCCCAACCCGACGTACTTGTCAGTTCATGCCGCAATATGTAAGGTTCTTCACGCGTCTGGCCGTGCAGAAGAGTTGGACAGAATTCTCGAGGACCTAGACGACGATGAAGTATTGTTTCTCTCACAAGACGGTAGCATGGCGGATTTGCTCGAGGTGGCTCTGCTTAGGGCTGTTGCGGGACAAGCTCTCTCGCCAGGTGCAAGTTAACGTGCTCAAGCTGGCACAAGCAGTGAACATGGTGACCGTCCACAACGGCGATGAGGACTCTGACTTTATAGAAGTGTTCCAGATTAATGACACCAGAAGGAAGAGAGAGTGCTTCCACAGGGTGAAGATCACTCTCAGAAAGGATGGAAAGGACAGAAGAGGAGCCAAAGGACTGAAACTACTAATGAAGGGATTCCCGACATCAAGGATCATCTTCAGAGCTTTTTGCACTGCTGGCATTTGGCTGTCACACCCCGATCAAAAAAGAGAAGGATGTGGGTGGAGAGGTCAAAATTAACTCATGCAGAAGGTCGAGGTCGAGCTTAGAGCGCTTCCGCAGCCATCAGTTGACTCGCGGAAGCAGCTCAAGAAGCTGATCACGCCGAAGCACGTTGCTACCACCGGAAGCTTCAAAAAAGTGCAGGAGGAGGGGACAGGTGAGGACGAAGAAGAAAACATCTATCTTTGTTGCTGGAAGGACCTGGCAACCTGAAGGACTTCCTCCTCATCCTCGCTTCGCAAAGTCATGGTATGCATACCCTGAATTATAATGAACGACACAGGAGACTGATGAAGATGTGGTCCGTAGAGTACGTCTGCAACTACAACCTCTACCAGGACGACAACATCGAGATTGAGGTTCGCCTCACGGGCATTGTCCAGGTGTATGTCAAGGGCCAGGACTGAGTGACCAGATTCGGCGCCACGCTCGCTCCGGGCGTCAACGTCCACTACCATCAGCATTTCTTCTGCTGCTGCGTCGATCCCATGGTCGACGGTCTGTACAACACCGTCGTCGAGACGGACGTTCTCCTACTGCCAGACACACTGATTGGACCGCCCTAGAACTTTGCGGGCAACGCTTTCATTACGCGCGACCACCCGCTCGAGGTGCAGAGCGAGGACGCGCGCGACGTGAGCCACGAGCTCGACCGGCGCTGGTCGATCATTAACCCGAAGAAATGCCACCCATACCCGGGCAAATTCGCGGGGTGCTTGATCATGGGCATGAAGGGCATGAAGGTGCCGCTGATGATGCGTCCCGACGGGTGGATCGGCAAGCGCGCGCCATTTGCACACAAGCCGCTGTGGGTCGTGAAGGACGTGGAGGGCGAGAGGGGATCCCGAATGTGGCCATGTGAAAAGTACGTCCCGCAGACGAGGGACACGTGCGCGGAAACGATCGTCAAGGGCATGGAGGAGGACATTCTCCTCTACCTCACTACCGGTACTCAGCTCTTCTAACCATATGATGGGAGTCTTAGTTGATCGAATGCTGCGATAGGTGTCATCCATATTCCCAGGCAGGAGTGCGATCTTCCCGTCCATCGCAAACCTTGTTGGGGATGTGGAGTCAACGCGCGCGTTTTATTGCCGACTACTCAAATTGATGCTGCGCAGATCGTGCCCCACCAGAATGCACCCATTCCAGCTTCCCTGCCCGTACGTCGCTTGGAGGTGCATTTGTCGCACGATGGTTGTGGGCAAAGGAGGTCACACCTGCGGAAACAGGACGTGGCGGGTTTGAGGAGGAAGTGTGAAGGCTGCTTGCGAAGTGCTGAGCTGCTACCGGTGGTGCTCCCCTGAAGACCAATGTCAATGACCCGAGCAGTGGACGCAAAGCAGTGAGTACGCCGGAAAGTGGGACAAGTATGCTCTACGGTCACGGTGGTCGATCTGCTCTTGGCCCCATCATTCTCGTCGTCGAGGAGGAGGAAGAGGAGATCGAGGAGATGGAGAACACGGGCGGACTCTTTTACGATAGGTTCCGGATACGGCGAGAGCGACGCGGGAAGGATGAGGACCTTGACGAGCTCCAAAGTAGGTCCCCGCCATGACTGGCAGCACGCTAGGTGGCCCTTCCACCGCATTTACTACATCGGATCTGAATGGCATCAAACCCTAATTCCGAGACCGCCGCGACTGACGCTGCCGTACAGGATGTCTGCTCCAGTCTTACTCACTCCCGTCACTGCCATGTCGACATCCGACACCGAAATACAGCTCGATCTCGCGAAGGCTGCACCGGGCCGGGTGTTGGTACATATAGACAGCAAGTATGGGCATTGTATATACTCCCTAGTAAGGGACAACGTCGCATGGGGTGCAATAATAATCGTTCTACACCGGAGTTAGCTTTGAACATATATCTGTTTCTGTCTAATATAACACGAAACTCGACGTATTGCGACCCGCGGGGGTTAGAAACACTCCCGGAGGCGAAGAATGTGCTTTTCAGGGCTACTTGTCAAGGACTCACGTTCCTCCGGTCAATCGACAGTCTTGTCTCCGGAAACGGCTCCGATGCGTGGGACACTGCAGACTGAACCTGAGCGAAGACTCGGAAGAGGAAGGCAGCGGGGTGGGTAGTTATCAATGGATGCGCACCGCAATGGACGCGCACTGCAGGTCTGCAATTTGCACGATGAGCGGCATAGCTTTGCGCAAAACGTATTGAAGGGCATGACGAACCAACTTGTGTTGAACACCTCAACCTACTGCAACAGCCCTCAGCAGAGCTACCTCGAGTAGATCTGCCGTGCTGCCATGCGAGAGTACAGGCGTCTCCCCCTCGTTCAGATCCGCGAGAATTCTGTCCAACTCCTTTGCGCGGCCAGACGCGTGAAGAACCTTACATATTGCAGCATGAAGTGACAAATAGGCCGAGTTGGGCTGAATGAAACAAGACCATGGGTATGAGGGATGAAAATGCAATTTGCGAAATAGAAAGGCTTACCAACGCCTTGCCAGAATTAGAATGGTCACTTAAAGTGACGGTCTCGGATAGATCGCGACGATTCTTCGCATTACCCCAAGTGAGAATGCGATAAACGTTGGATTTTGCCTTTCTGTGGCCGCCCGTCATAACATATTCGGTCAAAGATGAGAGGGAGACTCACTTCTATGGGTTCGAGGGCCAGTACAAGCTGGCCAAACAACCGATGCACGGAGGCCGAAAGAGTAAGCACGTTCTCCAGAGAGTTGATGTCATCGCCCCTGAGACCGTCCAGTGAACGACCAGAAAATGCTTGTAAGGCTGCCCACACTGCAGTCTCGTCGACCATCTATCACATTGACATTAATCTCTCCGAACGCATATGAAGCCATTGAAGCGCACCGTGGGAACGTCCGTCTCCTCGAAATCGTTCAGACCGAAGGGCATGATATGCGCTGCATCCGTTGTGTCGAGGTCGAAACCCGTCCAGGTCGTGATTTTATCCACATGGTCCTTCCCGGTTATGACGCATTTGTACCCATCGCGCACCAGAGCCTGCATGAGCTAGGTGAAACCACAGCCTGCGTACAGATATAACCAAACGCAAGCTCGGCCTTCAGGGTATTGAGACGCTTCTCAGGCTCAGGTGTCACAGTCGAATCAAATTCGTTGCGAAAGGGGTGACTTCTGGGAGCTGGTGTTTTCCCTCCGGCGGCCCGAACTACCGCACGTCGCACTCAGTGCCGTACCCTTGCTGAATGGAAAGTAGAAGCAACGTACCAGGAACAAGTATGCTGGTGTAGTAGTAGTTCGCAAGGTCATCCAGTTGTTCCGGCTCAGCAACGTTGACTGCCCATGCAATGTTAAGCTTACCGCGCAGGGATGGTGCATCTTAGATGGCGGCCTTGAGTAGATTCCTGTTGTTTGTCGAAGCAGGGGATTTTTCTATCTTCTCAAGCTGATCAGAGATAAATGTCTGCGCTAACGCGTCGGCAGGAAGGGGCCCAGGGTAGGTTGCAGGAATCATTAGGAGTAGGTTAGGAGCACGACAAGTCGACACAGCTCGGTTCCGTACAAGTTCCATACGTTTTAGTCTCCAATCAGATCTTAAATAACGTAGCGTTATCGGTAAAGAATTAGTTACGTGCATAAACCCACTTACCTGAATTATCCACGGCCGAGTTCGACTCATTCCTAGTACGATCTCAATATTCAATCGTCCTAGCAGAATGGAGGGAAATTACGGATGTATGAGCAGCAAGCGCTCTGACGGATCGGTCGCGGCAGAAGGTCCAAGCGATCATATGTCGGCGGTCCGCAGGCACAATTCAACGTAACAAGTGTTAAATTAAAGTCTACACAAGTTCCGTTCGATGCGGCAGCACCTGCGACCAGAATGCGCCTTATAGCTTCTTCAGCAACCCCTCCAGCTTGCGCAGCGCGACAACGTTCTCTTCTGCACTGCCCACTGTGATCCGCAAGCAGCCCTCGCATCCCAGCTCACCCCCACGGTACCGCACGACAACGCCCTCTTCCTCCGCCGCAGTCTTATATATCCTGTGTGCGCGCGTATTGTCCGGCAGCCCGCTCCCGCACTTCTCTAACACCGGCACCATCACAAAGTTCGCGTTGTTCCCACCGATCGCAGCACCGAGCCCGAGCGGCCGAAGTTTCTCCAGTTCATGCAATAGTACCGCACGTTGCTCGACGAGCACGGCCACCTTCGCGCTCATAGCCGCGACCGCGGATGGCCTGAGCGCCGAGAGCGCGAGCGACGCCGTCGGAGCCGAGATGTTGTACGGCGCCCTTGTATTCATAAGGATCTGTACAAGTGCCGGATGCGCGAGGGCCATGCCCAGGCTGACAGTCATCATGAGTAATTGTGCAGCTGTGAGGGCACTCGAGGCTCTCACCGGATCGCTGCGAGCCCGAAGCTCTTGCTAAGTGTCTGCATTACACACAGATTGGCGTACTGCTTGATGAGCGGCACCGCGCTGCCTGACCCGCCCGCAAAGTCGATGTATGCCTCATCGACGATGACGATACCCTTGAACGGTTTGTATTCCAGCAATTCGCGCAGTGCGGTAAGAGAGATCAGCGTGCCAGTCGGGTTGCCTGGAGAGCAGAGAAAGATAAGCTTGATGGTCGGGTCCACAGCTACAGCCCTCTTGATCTGCAGGATCAGTTTGTCAGTCAATAATGCATGAATATGGCATAAGAACATGCCTCACACCTCCGAGATCCTAAGTGAGAATCGGCCGCGCTCACCGCCCTCTCCGTTCTCCCCGCTGAGCTCTAGAGGCTCCTTGACCACGCCAACATCATTCACCTGTGCGCACACGCTATACATCCCATATGTCGGCGGCGTAATGAGGATCTTCTCCTGTCCAGGCGCCACACAGACGCGCATGAGAAGGTCAATCACCTCGTCCGAGCCAACACCGAGGAACACATAATCTGGTCCGGGTAGACCACGCAGTTCCGCAATTCGCTCGCGGATTTGGTCGTTCCTCGGTGAGGGGTAGCGATGCAGGGCGAGCGAGAGCGTGGCTTGCAATTCGGGCTCTAATTCCGGTGCTGATTTTGATGCATCACCGTTGAATTGTGGGATAGAGTGTCCGAGAGCATTTTCATTCGCATCTAGGAGTATTCCTTCCGAATAGTCATCTCGTGCACACCGATAGGGCTGAAGGTTGAGGATGTTTGGCCGGATGACCTTCTCAATGTCGAAGTGCGCCGGCGACGTGGGATAGAGTGATGGTGGCAGTCCAAGAATCGTCATGATGGATAAGAAATCACACCCGATGAACACGCTGTTCGATGTCGGGAGAAACGATGGCGTTGCAAATGGGCCAGGCGATTCTGCATGACTCGGGAGGGAGAGAAAAGATGGGCGGTTAGATTAGATTATCCCGCTAAATGGCCTATCCCGAGATTATCAGTCACTTGCACTTGTCTTTCAATATTTCAGCATCGTCTTCATCGGCTCGCATGGACGAAAACCTTCCAGCTCACGTCGAGCTCCTCGCAGAGCTAGCAGGTACCGTGGGTGGCTCTTGTCGTGGTTAGATTGGCTCTCATGTCACGTATAAGGCCACGACGATCGCGCCTGGCATGTTGCATGGAATCCCGCGAGACCGATCCTCGCGTCCTGCTCAGCAGACAAGACTGTTCGACTCTACAACTACGATGTCGCTGAACCATCAGAAGGCAGCACACAGCCAGCCGTGACTTTTTCGCACACCACCACCATCCCGACTGGTCATACTAAGACAGTACGCGCAATTGCGTGGTCTCCATCTGGAAGGTCGCTCGCCACTGCGTCGTTTGACTCGAACATCGGGATATGGGAGCAGGAGGGAGGCGAGGGGGAAGAACCCAGAGTAGACGCGGAATGGGAGTGCATGAGTCTGTTGGAGGGCCATGAGACGGAATGCAAGAGTGTCGCGTACTCCAGCGCGGGGAACCTCCTCGCGAGCTGTAGCAGGGACAAGACGGTATGGGTATGGGAAGGTTCGTTAATCAAGCTGCCGTGACGGTGCTCCGGTGCTGAGTGTTTTCCAGTGCATCCCGATGCTGACTTCGAATGCATGGGCGTGCTCATGGAGCACTCTCAGGACGTCAAGTGTGTTGCCTGGCACCCCACAGAGGAGGTCAGATGCTCATCTTCTGACTTTCCCTTATGCACCTGCTCACCACCTCGCCTCCCACCAGTGCAGATTCTCGCCTCCGCATCCTATGACGATACCATCAAACTATACATAGATGACCCGTCCGAGGACTGGTACTGCTTCGCGACGCTGACGGGACACGAATCCACCGTTTGGTCGCTCGCCTTCTCGCCAGATGGCCGATTTCTTGCATCGGGCTCTGATGACACAACCGTGCGCATCTGGGAGCGCGTGCAGGAGCATAAGTGGGAGTGTGTGGCGGTCCTGGGCGGACACGAGCGTAGTGTCTACTCCGTCAGCTGGGGAAGAGGCAAAAGCAGCGAGGAGGGCGCGCTCGGATGGCTGGCGAGCACTGGTGGCGATGGAATGGTGGTTGTGCGGCAGATGAGCGTAAGTTCTGTCATTCATTCTGTCTCTGGGTACTATGCTGATGTGTGGAACGGTGTTCAGGTAGTCCCACCGGCGACCCTGGGTGGCAAGAGCACCATAGCGCACAAGGTGATTGCGCGCGTCTCGTCTGCACATGGCGTCTCGGATGTGAACAGTGTCGTTTGGTGTCCGCGCAAGGGTTTGGAGAATATCTTCGCGACGGCCGGCGACGAAGGCTTAGTCAAGGTATGGAGAGTTGTCACAAGCTGATTTGCCACCGTGATCCGCGTGTTGTAAGTGTTCGTGCCAATAACTCATCAGGTCCGATAGCAGTGTCATCATGAAAATGAAATTGTTATACACACTCTGCTTATCACTTGACCGGCGACGGCAGGTAGCTTTCGGGCAATGCAAAATCGGGACTGCGAATTGTGTCGACTGACTATACAACTAATGTGCTCGTCTATCAGCCTTCAATCTCAGTCAGTTCATTTTATCTAGGTCTCTTTGGCAAACACGCAGATCATCAATCAGGTAAGCTTGGCTCATTGCCTATCAATGAACTACTACAAAGTTCGGTTCGTTTATCCCTGATTACGCGTCTGCAACAGGGCTACAGCAGCATATACATCAATGCATATGCTTACTTATCTGCTCGAAGTAACTGCGACCGACTGCCCAATAGATTTACTATCTACTGGGTCTCACGTTCACCGGCGAATGTGAAATGGCTGGGACAAGATAGTAAAGATAGGGCGCCTCTGTACAATCAACTGAATGCTCCGGGTAAACATCGGAAGGAGGTGATCGGTGCCGACTTCCTCCCGCTCCTCCTAGTGCTTAATGACCATATCTCGTGGCTGATTGCGCGAAACACTTTGCTCTGTAATGAGCTTATTTCTGGCCGAACCGGAAAGATACAAGTGCGGGTCTGACACCGACACGAAACTAACATACAGAAGATGGCCCAACTGCCGAAAAACTTTGCTTGGGGGTACGCTACAGGTGAGACAAATTCACCGGGACCGGGGCATAATATCCTTGAACGCTGTTATTCACGGAGTTTACTGCCTCTAACGTCTGCAGTCTGTGAATTTGCCGGAGCTGTTCTGACTGCACTCCACAGCGAGCTACCAGATCGAAGGCGCCGTCTCCGAAGGAGGGCGCGGTCCGTCTATCTGGGACACGTTCTGCAAGATTCCAGGCAAGATCCGCGACAGCACGAGCGGAGAGGTTGCAACCGACTCGTACCACCTCTGGAAAGAAGACGTTGCGTTGCTGAAGTCATACGGGGTGAACTCCTACCGGTTCTCGCTCTCATGGTCCAGGATTATCCCGCTCGGTGGAAGGAACGATGCCATCAACGAAGAGGGAATCGCCTACTACAGAGGACTGGCGGTGGAACTGTTGAAAAACGGTATCACTCCTTACGTGGTCAGTGGGCTGCTTGGGTGGCGTCGCATGGCACTACTGAAAGGGGTGACAACTAGACGCTTTATCACTGGGATTTACCGCAAGCGCTCGACGATCGCTACAAAGGCTGGCTTAACAAAGAAGAGATTGTGCAAGACTTTGTCAACTATGCGAAGGTATTGTCTGAATTGATAATCTCGGGGTCTGTTCGTTCTCCAAGCGTCGATTATGAGTGACAGGTCTGCTTCACGGCTTTTGGAGACCTCGTAAAGCACTGGTACGTCCGAAGCAGAGTAGATGCCAGGCGTTGTGAACTCGAATGAATCATAGGATCACATTCAACGAACCATGGTGCATCTCTTGTCTGGGCTATCAGAAGGGTGTCTTTGCCCCTGGACACAAGAGTGACACGGAAACGTGGATGTAGGCTAGTTCTTCTTCTCATCACGCACCGCGGTAAATACTGGGTCTTACTTACACAGTGTGGCCCACAATGTCATCCTTTCCCATGCGTACGCCGTCAAGCTCTACCGAGAGGAGTTCAAGTCCGTGCAGGGCGGTCAGATTGGCATCACGCTGGATTGTCATTATCCATTCCCCTACGATGACTCGCCTGAGAGTACGTATGCTGCTTACCGCGGACAGTGCTCATGCTGACACAAAGAACGTAAGACGTTGAGGCTGCGAAGCGGGGAATCGATTTCAAGCTAGGTGCAGCTCTAGCATCACCTACTCCCGAAAAGTCCTTCTAAACCTCCTTCGTCCCCGATAGGCAGATTCGCGGTTCGTCTGCCTTGCCCCTCCCGTTCCGCTCCCTCGAAGTCCTAAGACCGTTTGTAGGACCCCATCTACAACGGGTATTACCCAGCACGAGTGAAAGCTATCGTAAAGGACCGCCTTCCTGAGTTCACCGAGGAAGAGATCGCCGTCGTCAAGGGCTCTTCCGACTTCTTCGGGCTGAACACCTATACATCCCAGATCGTCCGTAAGTACTTCCTGCTGTGTTTACGATCATTGTACGAATGCTCTGATTTCGACATGGACCAGAGGATGGAGGCGATGATGAGACAAACGGCTACATACGTGTTGGCTTCACACGTCCGGATGGGACGCAGCTGGGGACGCAAGGCGAGTCTGCTATGCTGCCGATAAAAGCGCACGGCTGACTTTCCACCCGCAGCTCATGTTTCTTGGCTCCAAACATGTAAGCTCTAGTTCTTACATGATAAGACTACGACGGACGCTTAACTAATCGATGAGTAACATAGACCCACCTGGCTTCCGCACAGTGAGTTTCCTTTCCATTCATGAAGTTATATTACACATCCGTGGCACTAACGCCGATGTGTTCAGCTACTCAACTATCTCTGGAAGGTGAGAAGGCAATTGGGTTTCATTGTGGCGGTCGCTTACTGGTGGTGCTCCTCAGACATATGAGAAGCCAATCTAGTAAAAAGCCATATACATGTTGCCTTTGCTTCACAATTAACTAGAATTCACCATAGCGTCACTGAAAATGGCTTTGCCGCGAAGAATGAGAACACTCTTCCTCGCGAAGAGGTTCTACACGACGTGGACCGCATTGAGTACTTCGAGGGCTATGCAAACGCAATGTTGCAGGCGGCCACCGAAGATGGTGTGCCAGTGAATGGATACTTCGGCTGGAGTGAGTAGCAGCTCTATGATCCTGAACCTTAATTGTTGATCCCTTTCATCAGGCCTGCTTGACAACTTTGAATGGTGCGTTCTGTATCGTACAGTATCGGCTTGTGACTTGATGCAGTGTCGTTCGCGTGATAACAGGGCGGACGGTTACGAAACCCGCTTTGGCGTCACTTACGTGGACTATGCAACGCAGAAGCGATACCCGAAAGAGTCGTCGCAGTTCTTGAAGAAGGTATATCATAAAGATCCTCCACTTTTTGCGTCATGAAAGCCTGATGTGCCAGGGCAGTGGTTTTCAGAGCATGTCGAGGCGTGAACGTACTGATGCGCATCGTTCATCGTGTACAGATGGCAGGTATCTGTCAAGACAGACATTATATACTGAGCTTTGGATTTGAACGCTCTGCTCACGCCTTCGGAATGTGTCTTCCGATTCTGCTTTTCGTTTATTGAATCCACAGCTTTGTATAAATGTCGATATCCTCAAGAACTGCTTCTATTCATAGCGAAATTACTTACTCGAGACCCTTCTGGCTGCTTCATCAGGTCATCTTGCGATAGCTGCGTCCTTGTGCATGATGTGAAAGTTGTTGGGCCACCTCCATGCATCGAAATCTTTCAGCGTTTTACCCTGCGGACCACGACGACTCAATTGAATAGCCTTTCCTGTCAATGCCATGTGGTTGCACGAGCGTCTCCGGTGTATGTTGCTCTTGCAGTATCATCGGATGCCCCTGATCACAATGTGCATCATACGATGGTGTAACAGCCTTCCAGCGCCAAAGATTGGTGCATGCAGCATTTATAGCTAGCTATAAAAAGCCCGCTCTTGTCTTTTCGAGGAACTATGATCAATCATCAGAACGAAGTTCACCTCAACGGCGGTCTTAGAAGACAATTAGTAATACGCTGCCGTCTCGCCGCGTGACAACGGTGAGTAAGTTTTTTCATGTTGCCATCTTCTTGTTGCTTTTGCGAACCGTCATTCTGTCGATGCAGCTCGAGTCAGCACCTACTATCATCACGGAACGGGTCAAAGCCTTTCGCAATATTCTGCTGCAAATTCAAGGTGGACGGATGAGACTCCCGAACATCTCTTGTCAGCAGTGTGGTCGATCCATCGATTACCATACATGAACTTGTGAGCCGCTAAAATCTTTATTGCATGGGTGAAAGGTTCGGGTCTGGAGCACTTCGTGATCCCTCCTCCCACGTAGGCAACGGCTTTGTTTCGTTGATGACCTTTTACTATCGGAGGAAGGGCCTGCAACGCTGCTCCGTTGCATGCGCAGACGGAATATATAAGCCATCTACTATTCGCGCAGAAAAATATGTCAGTGAACACCCGTCATGACTTCGAACATCTGGAGAACAAGGCGGACCTATTGAAGACATGCCATTCCCGTCGTAAAAGACCTGGAGCAGCCGCGCTCAGACTTCGTTGACAGCGTTAAGCATGAGGATCAGCGGTTAATTAGTCCTGACCAAAAACCTGGATACGTCGATTTCGCTCTAGCAGCTCCGCTCTCGGGAGGGTGGGCCGATCAGTCAGCGCAACAAGGGAAGGTGGGGTTGCCATCTGGATAATTTGCAACCCCATATGAACGTCGTCTAGTATGTGTACTAGATCTCGATTATTCATAACAAGGCTCACTACCGCAGACAGGTCTGGACGGCCGGTATCATTTGCCCATCGTATCATGTATGTGGGCTGCGCTACATTACAGTGCCATGACGTACAGCTGGCCATCAGGGTAGACTGCATCGGCCTCGCTCGGGGACTATGCGTCCATTTATCTGAAGCACGGAAGCATCACGGATCCTCTAACGAAATCTTCAATGAAGATCTCGGATGAGGTATAGGCAGGAGACGCCGTGCGTATTACTCCGGAAGGCCAGCACGATCATCCCTTTTGTGAGCAATATCTGTGGCTACATAGAAGGGGGGAGAGATCTGTCGCCGTAATCCGGGGTTTGAGATCGTTCATTGATTGGTCATTTGCAGGTCAATGTTCAGTAGCAAATGCAATCGAAGTTCATGAATCTGAGCACCGGTGCGAAATGACCGCAATCTGGGCGACAAACATGTACATCACTCCGAACTGAAGGAAATCAATCCTGAAGAGCAGTGCGCAGCCCACCGTGTGTATATGAAGGACTCGGATGAGTATCTCGCCGGTGCCCAGTGTCGAAGTTAGCGCCGTCATGGAAGATTCGAGGTAGGAGGCGCCCGGCAGACTCCGGCCTCACTTCGAGTACAGCCTTGCCAGGGACATATATTGGTCCCTTGTTGGAGTATGTAGGGCGAAATCCTTATTGTCAGTAATTTGATGGCTACGTCAGCGATCGGCCCGATACAGCCTGCGAAATTTCATGACTCGTATTAAGGAACCCCAACTTCTTCCTTGTTTCGTGTTGCGAAGTGCACGGTGCCAGCATTCAGCGACGCCGGCGGCTGATGCATTGCAATGAAGCTTATCTGCCGAATGGTTACCAACGTATGAACCCTTTGCACTCTCAAGCAGTGATCTGCATGCCGCATGCAAAGCGTCGTCTATTCCACTAAGTATACGGCATGGCAGGATTGCTCAGTTGCGCACATGAGACGACGACGACATGCATTGCGGTATCGGGCCGGTTGTTTTTCCCATGAGAATCTGACCGGACTTGGTGAGCGGTTCTGGGTTGCTACACAGCGGAGTCAATGACAAAGATCTCTCAATAGATAAAGAATAATAGAACAACAGCACAGCTAAACGAAGTCCAGCTTCACTTCGCGACGGCGTACATAAAAGTCGATGGACGAGTAGAAATAGTCTGTGTATGTGCGTAGGGGAGGGGGACAGGAAATATAACGTTCACCAAATGTTCATCCGCGATCTTGCTAAACTCGTAGCCTCACCCACAGTTTTCCCTCCGGTGACGAAGGAGAGCATCACTTCGGGCGAAATGTCCACCGCAGATGTCGCAGATTTCAAGAGTGCTCTTGAGATGTACCTGGGCGATATGTTTGCCCAGCGACTCATAATTCATCAGGTCGCTGCGACAATCCGGCGACCAAAGGCACTTTCCGCGGTTTCGGTTGCTCCAGGGCCTGTCTTTCGTATTGAAGTGGTGATCTTTTAAATGACGCTGGATACCCGAAGGAGTGAGGTCATCCAAATAGATACCGCACCAGCCACCTTCCCAGGTGCATCGCTGGAGATTCTGTGGTGGGCCCGCAGAGACAGCGGCTTGAGTCGGCCTGGATTCGAACGGTCAGCTGAAAGTCAATCTACATGTCCGCGCCTGCCTTCGACTCACATCGTATCGACAGGATACCCGGCATTCGTCATCGGACTCTGATAATATTGTTGATTCATCTGGCTGGTCATTCTGAATGAGGAAAGAAAGCCATGTTAATTCACAGATGAGGACTGTATGGTTCCTATAGACTCACTGAGTTCCTGGTACAGCAGGCCAGTCATTGCCATAAGGTGAAAACTGCAGAGAGCTGGGGAGGTGCTGTTGCGTTACTGGTGGATAATCTGAGTGGCCTCCAGGGATGCTGTGGTACCATCCATGAAGACTTTTGTAAGTTTGACAGATACTTAAGAATGGGGGGCCTGAACTGACGTAAAATTGCCCGATGAGTGAGGGCCCGCAGAGGATTGAGACTTCTGAGGATGAGACATGTCGTTGAGCGAGCAAAGTCGATGAGGAGCATGCAAGAGAGCATGGCGTGTACTTATAGACAGTGTGGTTCAACCTCTCGTCCTGTATCAGTCCACATAACCGCTTGTCCTGTAGCCATCGGCGACAAGATGACTCCTTGCCTACGGTTTGAAAGTCACACATCGAGATATCAGTCACCAGGTGAAGGAATGTTCAGCTTGTCACGAGACAGTCCGACTCGAATCGGAGGCTGAAACGCTCGATGAAGCTTTCTAGGGCCATTACGCAAGGTCAGATTCATCGCCCGCCAGTAGTAAGAGCGTACCCGGCCGGATCGTACGTTCATTGCTGTCAACCGATTGGTACTGACTCTGACAATGAATTTACATATCATCGTTCCGCTATTCCCATCCAGGAAGAAAGGATATGCATGACGATGTGTGAATCACAAGGTCTTCTAATTGAATGTCAATCTGCCGTGAGGGAAAAAATCCGATGGTACACAGCAGCACGGATTTTCTACTGGCCGTTCGGTGACACCAACTGAGCAGTACTTCCCTTGAAGCGAGTAGAGGAGATTGCTCATGGTGGAAAACGTGAACGCCCGTGGCATGGCTTTTCACTAGATTGCAGTGCCACAACATGCTGTGTGACGCCCCAACGTTAAACAGCAAAGAAAAAAATTACGGCATTGGTGAAACGTCCATTATAATAGGATAGACCCGGGCAACTGTCCAGTCATATGAGCATCACGGAATTTGTCAATGATCTACATCTGAAACATGCCTGTACGAGAATTCAACGCGGACAAGTTTGCGCCGAGCACAAGTCGCAACTACCGAGTCTGTGACAGAGATAAGAGTGTTGACTACTGTTACCTCCCGATTGAAAACCCAAGCAGGTACTACTCCGGTCTCTCAAGACACGCGTTCAGTGTCACCATTCTATGGGGTTGGAGGCGAGATGAGCAAAGCTTTCGAACATGATGCATGGGTCGTCCCGCACGAGGAATAATTGAACTCCGGTACCGGTTATCACAAATGATCCGTCTGTAGCGTTAGCTAAAGGGATTGGCCGCGATGTCAATTTCGCGGAACCAAGATGGTTCGCACTAAAGTGTGGATCCAACATGTCTGTGTGCCACGTCTTCCATGCTTCTTATCAGATATCTTGCCGCTACAATATGTGCTGTAACAATGCAATGCTGCATTCAGTTAGAATCTCAGATTCACGCCGTGAGTCATAGCCACCACGACTCTTTCACCCCACCGTTCTCGAGGTCAACAAAGGGCAGCTAGGTGAAACTCGCGCTCATCATCGCAGGAAACGGGACAAGGGCAGGCCAAGGACTTTTACTTGTTTGCCTTCTAACACTGCTCAAGCTTCCATCTGCAGCACAAATAGCGCACCCATTTTATGAGACTGAGGAGATGCGATGCAGTGATCCGAGCTGAGCCGCCGATGACTCTTCTTTATCGAGCACGACACGATCACATGATGTATTCCGTCAGGTTAGCAATACAGGTGCAGGTTCTTCCCTTCGTCCAACTTCTACCTTGAACCCCATCTTCTTGCGCGACATCACTTGATGCTGAGAATGTGGCAAGGGAGAGGTTTTCAGAGTCCCGCGCAGTTCACATAATGACCGCAGCGTTTCAGGATTTCGCTACAAATTTGCAACCGGGAGTCAATATTTGCCAGCACAGCGACGCCGGCTGGCGACAATTGAAGCGCACTGCAGGCAACAATCCATCAACAATCCATCTGTCAAGGGCAACTTCCAGATACGCCGGCGAGGCGGTGTTCATTGAAATCCCGGATCTATCTTATGCCCCTCGGTGTTCCCAGTCAGCAGAGTCGATGCCTCATGAGCTCGGCCACATTCTCCTCTGCTGAGCACAGAACTTGTAGAGAAACATGGCGGCCAGCCAATTTCAAGACGAATTGTCACCCAGTTTTACCACAGTCGCCATACAAATAAATTCAACTAGGAAAACCAATGGTCCCGCAAACTCCTAGACTGATGAATCATGGTACAGATCCTCCGCCTGTTGACATAATCACATGCACAACGTAGTCAAGAAGTCTGTACAAATGCGTGAAAATGCAAAAGCATGTCTCGTCACTGTAAGAGCCTCCAACTGTGAGTGAGCACGCACCACTTTGCGCTATTGCCGCCCGTTTCCCCCTCTTCCTTCTTCACTCGCTGGCTCTGGCTGCAGTAATTCTTTATATGGCGATCAAGAGAGTCCGCTCTTCCAAGCTCGTGATGGCAATGAGGGCAGCTTCTCGCGGTGCTTTTCAAGTGCACAGATGCAATGTGCTTTCCGAAGCTCGCATGATTCAGCTCTCTGTCGCATTTTCCATCCCAGTCCACCCATTTGCACAGCCCACGATCCTTATTATGCCAAGGTACACCCTGGAAATGGTGTTCTTTCAAATGGCGTGTAATCCCGGCAGGCGACAAGTCGTCGAGAGTCACGCCGCAAGTCCCATCCCAGCTACAGGTGACGTTTCGGCCATAAACAAGAGGGAACGCTGGCGGCAATTGTTGGGGAAGGATGCCGTACGCGACTCTGGGGTCATAATGCTGATGAGATCCGTGAGGCACGGAGTACGGAGCATAAGTGTAGTGATATGAATGCTGATCTTGCGATGCGTGGACTCCACTGAAGTTTTGACTGCATTAAATCAGCACGAGCAGAACATTGAGATGATCAACACGTACATCTGCATGTTCATCACATCGTGAGCAGGAACACCTGGAGCGAAAGACTGTGTCGGAGGATCCTCGTACGATCTCTCACTGCGATCTACGGTTAGGTGTGCTAGGCGAGTCAAGGATATCAGACTGACTATTGGTTCGTAGGAAGTGGCCCCGATGCAACATTCGGGTATGGGTATTTAGGATCGATAGCCCCGTTGCCATCGTACCAATCCACAGATCGGGCATCATGGATGGTGTCCATGTTTCAGTAACGACGGAATGCGTTAAGGCCGATAGACGTAGATGTCTGTCCTGGCACGGACGATGGCGATTGGGGTGTACTACGAAGAGGGGAAGAGTATCTGGGCCTGCTGAGTACAGAAGAGATACATGAGTCCTCGTGCAGCGCATCTTGCCGGACACGGAAGTTGTTGTTGTCTAGCGCGTAGTTGTCATTGGATATCAGTGTGCACAGGCCGTGATTCGAGTCTGGATTTTTGCTGGATCTACTATTACAAAATAGGCGGTGCTATCCCATGCGGAACCGCGTACAGCCATCATATTCTGTTTTTGAGTGCCGCTCGCTTCCATGCAGCACTATAGTCTACTTCCGAGTTATATTACACCGAGCAGCGTTAGTCGGGGATGGCGGAACTCTACTCATGAAGCCTTCTACCGATCCAGAATTTCCGTTCCAGCACCGGAATGCAAAACCTTCGGGCCACGTCGAGGACATGTACTTCGTTTGGGATGCCTCTCCGTAATGTACAGGCGTCTACGGTCTGCAACGCGTTGCAGGCATTCTCACGCCTCTTAAAATATGAATAAACGCCCGTTTGTCACGCACTGCCTGGAAGGGAAGGATCCATGGTTCCAGTCACAAATTTAATTTTTGTGGACTCGCGCCTCACTGAAATCAACAGCCAGTAGTCACGCCTTGTCATAATCTAGTCACACCGCTTTCACTCGAAGTAGTGCTAAATTTAGTGTAGAATTAATCCCCTCCGCCGTCTCATTCAAAGTCCGCTTTATGTCTGGAAAGTAATCATCATACCTGACTTCTTCCGCATAGACGTAGCGTTAGCTGCTTAATAAACCGAATCAGAAGACATGGAAGCTGCCGAAATTCAAGCAACAATCAACGACGTACTGAGGGGACGAGCTTCTAGCACCGGTAGGTCGGTTCAATCATTACGAGCCGCAAAGTAAAACAGCAGCGGTGACGGGCGAATATCACACCTAGCTGTCTCGGCGTATTCTGCTTTCTCACTTTGGACCGAACCGCAGCCTAGACGGTGGGGAAACGCCTTGGCGATGCATGGACGGTCTCAGGGCATCGAGAGGTACCATTTGTGACCGACACATAGCGCGAGAGCATTGAGTCTCAATGTACGGATTGTTAAAATGCCATCGAACCTCTGCACGACGGGCATGATACTTTACCGTAGAGTCTAGACGCCATTGCATTTATGAAACGTTGGAAGAGCAAGATGATGTGGCAAGTCACTATGAAGAAGCAGAATGTTCAACTGACTGTCCTTGTGCGCTGCACCTAAATCGTCAAATTGGGGGTGAACTTGACACGACGGCATGGGAAAGCCGGACTTCGTTCAAGCTGTCATGTTAAGAAAGAGTGCTCACAAAATTTTCTATGGTGGTATCAAGTCGGTATCTCATGGCGTCTGTTATGTGGTTTGGATAGATGCTTCGGCTGGCTCAAGGCAGCCTGATCTGCATCACGCCCTCACAATTAAAATTTTCACACCAGTTCATTGCTTATGAAATGATCACTCACCCATCACGTACCTTAATAATGACTTTCAATACCAGTATACAGCACGACTGGAAGCGTGCCACTGCTGTCACATTGCCAGAGATCATCAGGAGAAACAATGTTGACGCTTTCTACAGCTGCTCCGAATGTGATGAGCCGCCGGTCAACATGAATGACAGGTGGCGACACCGGTAGGTTTAGGCCAGTCCATAGGTGCTTTGGGTGCATTCATAGTCTGCCATTTGAATGTTTCTGAAACTGATTTGCATTAAGGGCACGCCATTGACTCAACAAAATGTCGGTACGGCCGCACGCCGGCCGTCCTGCTAATGCATGACAGTGGCCTACTCCTTAGAGACTTGTTCTCAATGCGTCAGCATCAGACACAGGCTAAGCGCACATGAAGGGGCACATCTTGCCCTCTTGAGTGACCGACTGGGGGCGCTTGAATGTGTTACGGTGGCATCTCAATTCGACCGGCTCTATATCAACGCCGTGATTTTGAGGGTGTTGAGCTCAAAGCATCGGTGTCTAGTTTGTCAGAAAGGGCATTCAGAACAACATGCGCTAAACTATTACCAGGAAGGCATCGGTGGCAGGACTCACTTGCCTCATGGTATTGCAAGTTCAGTTGGACTTCTTTACCCACTCAAGCTGTCTCCACGTGCTTCAAGTAGTGGTCGTATTAGGTTCAGAAGCACAAGAAACCGAGCCCTCCGATGCCTTCCGATGCGCAATTCAGTCTACGGAACTTGAACCATCGGAAAGCGCTTGCGACATTGTGCGTCCGGGCCCGTCGCGCGATGTCTCAGCAACGTGCCTAGTGTCCAGTGGTGATAGTGAATACCTTATTCAAACTTGAGGTTTACTTGGATATCCAGATATGCCGTGACCATGCAAATATCCGAGTTTCATTGATGGTGATGTGTGATATCTCGAGAACCTAGTAAAGCCGCTGAGTTTGAATTCACTCGGCGTCCGATATCCATATGCAGCGTACAGCCTCTGCTTCTGCGAGAGCGGACCGGGAGGTTTAATAGTCGGGCAGATAAATCTCTGCATAGGTTGAGATATCCAGCATGCTTGCGAATACTGTTTACATTTGATATATGGGCTGCAGTGAAGAGGTGTACATAAATATATGGCACTGGGACTGCCGAACGATCGTGGCTCTGCTTCATTTTTCTGCGTGGCATGCTCAGTGAGTCGCCGCATGATATTGATATTCACTCTGAAATCCCAATGCACACTTGTAAGTGACGCATAAATGAATACGAGCGTGCGAACTCACAGAAACACTTATTGCAGACGCTCACGCTGCTTCGCAAGTGGCAAACAGTTTGCCGAAGCTCGCGTAATCCACGCATCTTCCGCATGGTTGACATCCTTCTCCATCCTGCCACTGGCATGTTCCGCGGTTACTCTTCGCCCAGGGAAGCTTCAGGCCGCCAAAGTGATGGTATTTTAGGTGGCTGGTTGTTCCTTCGGCTGAAAGATCTTCAAGGAAAAATAGGACAGGACGCTCCCCAGTGACAGAGGAAGGTCTGTCTCCGAGAGGCTTCAGAACCGACATTCGGATCTCAGCCGATGACAGGGTATGGCGGCTGCGACCTTCTCATCCGATGGCTGGTTCGCGACCACAGAACGCGGGTCCCGCATACATGCCCGCTGCGGATCTGCAAAGGAGTCGACAACAGCGCTGTTCGCCAAGATTCTGATTATGAAAGACAATTAACCAAGATACGCGTTAGAGAGCAGGATAGCGCGCACAACTACAACACGCACGGGCTCGAAGAAGCTTGATTCGCAGGTTTGTCGCGTGCGTGAGAAAGAGAAGCTCGAGTCTGGCGAGGAGACAATGCGCCACTAACGCACAGGTATTAGGCTCTGCCTAATTCGGGTGATCAACACCACCTCACCAACGGACCGCGCAGACATCTTCACAGGATATCCGGCTAGACTCCAATCGGCTGTGGACAGTAAAGTGTCTGTAGGTCGAGCAGGGAATGCCGAGCAACTGCGTACACGCACTAATATTGCAGCTGATCCTGAGATGGAAGAAGACGGCCCAGACCGAGAAGGACCGTGCTCACACACCGGACGGGTTTGACTGTCGCGTGAACAATAGGAGGGATGAGAGCACATGTAGATGAGTTCCGCAAATTTGAGTACAAGCTGGAATTCCAGACGATGAGCTTCCACTGTTAGGAGCTATACCGAGGGAGTCTGCAGATTCGGCTAGAGAATTTGACATGCCCGCCTTTGACATGAACTTTACTGGCATAGCTGCTTAGCACAGCACAGCTGACGCAAACCTCACGCTGTTTGCGCTGGTCGACAGCCTAAACAGTAACGTGCCATGGGCGGCGGCAGCTGAGAGGATCTGTCGTCTTCAATCGGGAAAGGTACGCCTAGCCGATCAAGTTCAGGATGTAGCGTCGTTCTGCGGAAAAACCAATCGGAAGGGGTGCATGACATGGAATGGAACTGCACTATGTGCATTTTCTTCATGATGCGAAGGCCGGCTGCTGCGTCAAGCAGCGAATGCTGCGCGCAGATGCGGGGAAAGATGATAATCTCCGCGAATATCATTGACAGTTACGAGGTCGGCAAGTGCGAACATTGGGCCAAGGTGGGAATGACCGGCTGTCTCGATGACATCTCCATTGACGTGCGAGAAGACCGTAAGCGGCAGGCAAATTGCGGTCAGAAGGTCACGATCCTGATTGACACCAATGGAGTAAGGGTTCTTCACTTGTCCGCGCGCGCGAAGTGATGTATCACACTTGTTACAGTGATGTCACAGATTCTTCGCAGCCATTGAACCAATTTCGCTTTCGTACTTGCTGGCAAACTGTCAAGACGACAGGACATCAACGCAACAAGCAATGGTTTCATTCTGTTTCAGAGAATCTATCGATCGGTCAGCCATGAGCAATGAGGTAAGACCGAAGCTGGCTTTCCAACGGGAACTGGAGAAGAATTTTGAGGGATAGCGATGAGAAGTCGGTCCAGCCATACTCCATCACAGGCGCGATCATGGCTGTCAATCAGTGTTATTGTATTTCTGTGTTTCAGCTGTTCACCTTGCGTCCGCGAGGATCATGGATGACAGATCAAAAGGGGAGTACCGGGTTCTACTGATCGAGATGTGTCGGGTGCCATAGTGACAGGTCGCCGCCATGCAGCCTACTGATGTCATTGGGCGTTGTATTAGTGCCATCGATATTTAGGCGCTGCGTTTCACATGCATTAATTCCGAATTTCCCTCCAGTGAGACATCTCGATCCCGCTCCGCTTAGGCTTTTGTTGTGAGCACGAGGTTTGCATGTCGCGGAAGTGTCTTGATATGATCGCTCTGTGTAAGCACGGCGCGATACAACAAAGAGGTTGATTGGAAGGCCGTGACTTGCATGCTGAGATACATCGAACCAGAGAGAAGACGAGACTCTGGTGCAAGCCGAAGCCTCGGTATAGCTTCGGAGACCGAAAACAAGACGAGGCTCGTGATGCAGGCTCGCTGAACAGCTCTCAGCACCTATGACAGAGGAAGTGTATATCGCGGGTCCAATGAGAAACTTGTATTCTATCCACAGTGATTGTCCTACCTCTGGCTAGAAGGTCTCACCATGAACGATGGGCGAAACTGGTGCCATTCATGAGGTGAATCTAAGTGACAGTTTCTTAGGCAGCATGACCCCACTCTGAGAAGCGGCAAATGCTTACGATTGTGAAATACTATTGATCGCCGAGAGGTTCATCCCAGATACATGCACTGCTTCTTCGTCGGAAGGTCCGACGAGCAAGGTACACCTTGATTCTCTGGACATGCCTGTAACAGGCAACGCGTCAGCTGACTCTAAGGCGAACATTGAACGATGATGAGCCGGCGGAAGGCAATGCCAAGCCGTCAAGGTGCACCTGGGCGTCGGTGAATTTGAAGCGGTCTCGAAGCGTCAACGAAGGCCGGAACGACAGTTGATCTGGGCAGAATCCCTGTCGAAGGACCGGAGAGGGTGATAAATTTGAATTTGAATTTGAATTGACGTCCTTGAGGCACTCTACATAACAGCATCCGAAGGAAGCCATACACACCCACATAGTTTGGGCAATGCATAATCCTTCGACGAAGCCGTACAAAATTACGGTTGGGTCTCTAGTGCAGATCCAAGTTCCACACCTGAGAATGCTTCCAAAGCCATAAGCTGCATTCAAGCGACTTTGTCAGAGCATTGACCTAATCTTGAAGCTTGATCAGTGATGATAAACTTGTGACGATCGTTCGGTGGAAGCCGCCGTCGCCGTCGTCGTGCGATCAGTAGTCAGCGTGATCAAGGAGGACCGGCACCCATGCACCAAAAGATATGCTGCTCCCGGACCCTGCGACATTGATATTCAAAGTCATACATACGGGACTGAGGAACTCTGCTCACCAACAACTACCGAAGTCGCGCGCGCGCGAGATCTGGCTGAGGAGTCACTCCAATGAGAGGTTTGAGGGACAACTTAGTGGTATTTCGAAGTCGAAATTATGGCCATATCAGTACACACACTTTGAAGGCGATCCAGCTTTCCAGGTGACTGCGGTTGCGTGGATGTGCACGGTCGCCGCACGTTTGTGGTCCGCATGCCAGTGGAGAGGTAAGGTGCCGCAACTGGCAAAGCATGTCATTTCAGGTCACATCTAGGAGGTCCTGTTACTGGCTGAGGATGTGAACACTGGCTAGAACGCTGCATTTAGACAGAGCAAACGGCAGAGTCGAGCTGTTTTCACTGTGCAAAGACTGATACGAGAGCTTAGGCGGCGCTTAATTATCAAAGTAGTATACAGCGCTCTAGTCGCTCTAGTCACTAGCGCTGAAACCGCTCTCCTAGCTAGCTTTGAGACAGCGCATTTATTGAGCTCACGTTCCCCGGCCTAATACGACTGGGAGCGGCTCGCTGACCAAGGTGATATTAGGGGGCCAAGTAACTCGTCCTACAGGTTCTGCGAATACAGACATATTTACAAGATTAAGCGTGCAGATAGGCTTCATTTCTATGTACAAAATTCTCGTAATGTAGAGACATCATTACCAGTAGATATAACGATAGCAGTCAGCCAACACCCTACCTCTGGAGGGTGCCCTTTTCATATTCAAAGGACGTACTCATAACATCTGAGAAAACCGACAAGCATAGGTTATTATGCCAAGAACTGCGGCGTGAGCGGAAAGTCATATGGTGTTATATGAAAGGAGACGATTGGCAGGCATACGCGGTAGCATTGAGGTTTAAGCCAGTAGCAGCTACTGCACAAACCTCCAGATGCCAGTCGTCTGCGGGAAGCATCACGTCCAGTGCATATCTGCCAGGCTGTGGCTGGAAGTTCTTTCCACCACGATGTTGTTTGCGATAACTGCCGCGATCTCTAGAGATGATGCATGCCAAGGAGCGACTGCGCATTTAAGCCTTTGGTAAGTATGGATAGCACGACGTCAAGACTTATGACGTACACGTTCGGATTTTCTACCCACGGGCATTGTCGAGAACACATTCAATGAGGACGTTTAGGGCAGTAGCGCTCGACGTGACGAGAAAGTGTATCGGCGCGGGAGAAAATAGCATTGCAATGTGGGCAGGTTCTGGCGGTGCTACCAAGGTGGACTGCGGCGATATGTTTTCCAAAGCTGGAGTAATACATGTCGGGGACGCTGCTACATGGACTGCCTTGCCATTGGCAAGCTCCACGGCACCTCGCATCCCATTCAGAGGGATAATAGTGATGATCCTTCAAATGACGATTGATTCCGGTCGGGGTCAGGTCGTCGAGCTCGATATCACAATTTCCACCCCACTTGCACTTCACGGTTTGACATTGAAGTGCCGAACGCGGATCTGACGACAGGGATATGGGCCCCAGGATAGGACGAAGGTGGCTGACATCGGGATTGAGCTGAATTGAATGAGCAGTGGGAGATCGGTTGAAATCAGGCATGACGATCGTGGCTTGGTGTCTAGCATCGGGATCGATGAAGGTGGCCGTCGATCCTGATTGATATGAGAAACTAGAAAATGCACCGTCGCATGATTAGACGCGACCAGATGAAGATCACGAGTGCACGCACGCATCCAGAGAACGATAAGTAACCTCGCGGTATGTGGCGTGCACGTTGTGAGGAGTGACGTAAGGATAATGTGGCGGCATGAGATCGCTAGAGGTCTAATGAATATCGAATGACACTTCGGGGTTGGAGGGGCTTACGCGGTGGAGATATGAGCATGTGCGACTCCGTACACCTCTTGCATCAGAGATTGATGGGAAGGACCGACGTCGGCTACGGCTTGAAATGCAGCTTCTGATCTATGTTCTTGGAACGCCATCTGGGAAGGGAGGCAGAGAGCGAGAGAGTTTTGAGATCTTGAATAATAATCCGTCAAAGGAGGAGAACGTTGAGCGATGGCGGACAGAGGGGCATCTGAAGGCGAGAGGTACATCGTGGGAGGAGGCGCATCCGCCCTCGGAGGTCGGGGTTCGGAGCTCGCGTCTTGCCTGTCATCGCGATCTTGTTCATGGATCCGAGAAAGGTTCGAAGTGTGCCAATAGCTGCTGGATGGGTCCATGCCTGTTGAGATAGAGCGGAAAAGATGAGCAGATGCGTGAACAGAAGCAAGGGCAGTAATATAAGGGCGACCATGAGGCGCAGGCCGCACGCGGTCATGCGATGATGCCCTAACCCGACTCAGTCATCCCGAGCTGTTTTTCGCCAACTCAATCCCTTCACCATCTCGAGCAGTGAGGCCTGAAAATAGAGCCGACGAGCCTGATCTGTCCGTACAGCAATCGAAAGCAGCCATCCGATTAATCGCGAAAACGGGTTATGTACACAGCCCAGCTCAGCTTCGTGGAGTACCAAATCCAGGACCACAATCCTGTGAGATGAACCAAGTCTTCTGACGTAGATAGGGCCAGACCTGGGCTTATGTTCATTAAAGAATGTCACATGTGCAGGAGGGTTCTGTCATATCCATGTTGCAGTCCGGGAAGCATCTGGCATCACTTCATTTCGGTAAGGGTCTTTCTCACGCGTCGCAGAGCAAGTTCTCTTTCTACCTTCATTTTGCTTTTTTCTCATCGATAGATATGCACTCCGTATCTAATTGACATGTTTAGCGGCATAGCTACTAAATACGGTGGAGCTTACCCAAGTCCAAGAATTCTTTCAGCGGGTATCTGTTCGCAATGAGTCGGTCTATGTCCCGATTTCCTGCAACAATTGCCGTTTCAGGGATCCCGAATATGCAGTAGTGCCAATTACCCACTGAACCTAGCGAAACGCCTGCAATGTGAACCGCGAACTTCTGTCCAAAGGGCGGGACTGCTCGTGCATCCGCTCCAGGAGCATGAATTTGTGAATGAATTTGTGATTAGGCATCGATTAGATGTCAACATTGAGACTCAGCATTTGGCGAAACATCCCAAAGCGCGCTACGCAATCGCCCAAACTGGAGTCGGTAGTCTGATCACGCGAAAGTGCCGTGGTGCTCGCGGCAGAGTTATCTACGCAGCTTGACGTTAGTGTTCAGGAGCTTGTAAAGCAGTCCGTCCGAAGCGCTTTGCAAATTTCGGAGGAATGAATGCGTCAGTTAGGATCTCCCTCTTCTCTGCGAACCCTCCCCCCCCCCCCAAATAGATTATGAACGGAGTACAACCTGTATCAATTTAGCGGATAATTCAGTGCCGCGAATGAGTGAACCTATCAGCTCGGCTTGGCACATGGAAATCAACTCCGATATGACGAGATGGGGGAGGATGGGGGGTTCTCTGCACAGAGAACTATAACTTTGCCGAGATTTCGAGACGATCGAGGGCAGATTACGGAGTCAAACGCGTGGCACCCGCCGCCTGTGAGGTGTTTGAAACATGAATGTCCTGTGATATGCAGATGTTCAACAGAGTGCATGTACATGGGCGCAACTTACCACTGCAAACCAGCAAGCTGGAGAGATACTGGACCGTCCCGGGCTTTACACTTGCGCATAATACAGCATCGCGCAATTGTGCGGAGGGCACTTGAGGGCAGAATCACTAGGGCATGCATGGGAACACTCCCGCAGGGCCTTGTCACGTAGGCAATGGTAGGTTCCGGGTTCGAACTTGAAACTGTGACTGCAAACGCCCGTCCAGCGCATCAGATGTGCACGTGCCCGGCATCCTCTCGAGCTTGACTTCACACCAGTAGGTGCTCATCGCGCAGGACGACGTTGACCTCGACTCGGTGATTTCTGCTCAAAGATTGCAAGGCTTCAAAGCTTCAACATTCACTGGTTGAACGATGAGCACTGATGGTATCCAAATAACGATCCCCGGTGCGCCGTCCAACCCGACAACTAAATGCACAGCAGCTGACTCTGCACTCAGACTTCGATGATGAGGATTACCGTTCCACGCCCATCTTCGGACGCACGCCAGGTGCCAGCCTGTGGGGAACGCCGAGCTCAGGGCAAAACTCGCCCACCATCCTGACCCCAGTCGCTCTGCCAGAGCGTGCGGATAGGTCCTACTTTCATTCTCGTGCCGATTCCATTACTTCCGATGACTCCACACATTCCCTTCAATATCCCACCCGCAAGGTCAAGTCTCCGTTTGTTCACTCCGCACAATCGTCCTTCGCTGCGAATGCAGCCAGCAGTTCCTTTACCAAGAAATCATCTTTCGCGTCACTCCGCAATGCATTCAAGAAGGCGAGCGAGCCTGCACCTCCTGTACCTGCACTGGATCAACAGCCTTACCCTGCCTTGAAAAATCCATTCAACCGTTCAACCTCCTCGCTCGCTCAGCTGCCTCCGATGCCTCATCGGCATCAGCCTTCAATGCAAGCTAGCCCACCAAATTTCAGGCCATCCACCCCTGGATCTGCCGATTTTAGGGGTAGATCGATGCCCTCAAGAATGAAAGAGCATAAATATGGCCGCTCGCAACACTCACATTCAAGTTCGGCCTTCCACAGTTCAGATGGTGGTAGTGATGCTGGCTATCATATGACATCCTCTTCGCCGCCACCCGTTCCGCGAATGCCGCATGGCTTTGGAGGAGTAACACACAGAGACGAGTCACGATCGCTTTCGGATTTGGAAGACAAGATCAACATGGAACCCCGCACACCTTCTGATTACGCGCTGCATGCTATTTTCATCCGCTTCGCGGCGTCGGCGGAAATGCGCATCGATGAGTTCCTCAGACAGCCATTGGTACGTGTCATAACATGGTTCTCTTTGAGCTCGGAGTCGTTCATGCGATTCGATGCATAGGAACGGGAGCCTGCACTTTCGGGTCTAATTGGTCCAGGCGTCGATCCCAAACTCGATGAACTGTTGTTGTCTCTCGGAAAAATCGCGCAGAAGCACGGAAAGCAGGTCATTGACTCCATCATTCGGTGGCGCAAGTCACAGAACGAGAGCGTGAGCACCGAAATGCAGCAATATCATTTATTGCAGGCAACCACCAGCGCACGTGGAGCGCGGCCGCAGGATATTCTGTCGATTCTCAACGAGCGCAAGTCGCTCGCATCTATTTATATTATGTGTCGCGCGTTGATCGCGGCGACTGAGAATGCAACTAAGGACGGCCTCAATGACTCAACCGGGCACAGCTTAGAAGAACTGACCTTCGAGCAGTTCAAGAAACCGGACATCAAATCGCTGACTGCGTCTGCGAACCACCGCAGCAACGCGGAGCTGTACGCAATTTTGTTAGGTCAGATCGCTAAAGTTAGGTGGGGTTCAATGCTTCGTAGTGTTATCCATTCGGCCCCTGACCTGCTGCTCTCAGGTTTGAAAGCGTTACGGATCGCTTCTTGGTTGAGCTTGGTCCTGTCGCAGCGGGTCAAGTGCCAAAAGATGCAGACTTCAAGTACGAGAATCTCGTGAAGGGCCTGAAATATGTGCCTGTAACGGTCAGTATTTCCTTCATGTTAATCAATGCGCCTGTTCGCTGAATGGGGACGCTAGGTTTGGCCTCCTGAGTCCTTCGAAGAGGGTGCAGAGTTCATGGTTTCGCTATCCAAATCCTTCGAGAACGCGCATGGTAATCGCCTGAAAACTATTTTTGCCGAAACATTGGTACATATGCTGCATCCAATTGCCAAGGTACGAGATCTGGTTTATCACTGCTGTTGAAACTATCTTATCAGTCAGCCAAATCTGTCAGACTGCTCAAGCCGAAGTCAACCACCCTGAATGGGCGAAGGCTATAGAAGTGATCTTCCCGAAAGCCAGAGATATGATGGCGAAACCGCGATACTGGCATGTGGCATTTCCCCTTGCCGTGACCGCTCTCTGTGTTGCACCTCAGGAGTACTTCTTACGCAATTGGAACGTCTGTTTCGAAGCTGGATTGAGCAAGATTAAGGTAGTCTATGAAGCATGTAACATTGTCTTATCAGCGTCTGACTATTTTCTTTCAGGAACGGATACACCGCCTTCCTGTGCTCAATGGCTTGCTGCGCTTGATGTGGACGTATCTATATCGGTGTCATGAGCCTGCGTCCACTGCGACTGCCAGGGTCGAGTCAGCGTTGAAGCACTTCTTTCCAGCTAACAAACTGACAGTCAGCCCTCAAGACGAGCATCTTGAGCCGTTCATCTATCTCCTGCATTTCATACTCTCCCGTCATTTCGACGTTGGCAGCGAGTTTTGTCTCGAGCTTTTGCAGGAGCGTAGTGTCACGGGGCATCCGTCAAACCTGTCAAATGTCCTAGCACCGGAGAGAATAACGGTCGCCACACAAGCTATCTTGCTTTCTCTGCATGCCATAGAGAGAGAAGAGCTGACACCTGCTTGGCCCACCAGCTGCGAGTTTTCCGTATTGCCTGACCGCGAAGACTATCCCACATCTTCGAAGCCCATCCCAGCATCCGTGTTATCCAAGGGGGGATGGAAGGATCTTATCGATCGTTCCAGTCTTTGCCTCACCACTTTTGGGCTGTACTGCTACCAGACAGTCGGCAAGTGGTCCATCCTCGATGAACAGTGGTCTGTTACCCGCATCACTCCAAACTATGAGGACGCGCATAACTTCGTCATTCGATCGCATGCGGAGTTCTCATCAGTTGCATACCCCAATCAATTTGCTTCCCATATTCACGTGCTGCAAACGGTGTATCAATCGTGGCCGCGCTGTCTCCATTCCTCGCTGGCGATCGAGGATGCGTTTGACATGCTCATACGCGGCATCCTCCATGTCGAACCGGCCATTGGCGAAGCTGCAAATCATGCGCTGCAGCGCTTTGTAATGGACGGCTTATACGTATCTGTCTTGCTAAGTCGACTCTCCAACTTCCTCTTCGATCCTGCCTCGATTGGCGAAGGCTCTGGTCTGAAATTGAACATCGAAAGTCCGCGCCTCCTGGCCCTTTGGCTGACTTTCATTGACCAATGGATCAATGAGATCAAGCAAAAACCACCTCGAGAGCTGATTGCGGAGGAAATGGATGACATCAAAGCGAGGGCTGTGGAGATCGAGGCAGGAGCATTATTTCTACTGGCATATCATAAGCTTCCTGCTTATCATTTCGGCTGCAAGGCGATGCGCCTGTTAGCCGGATTGCATTCACACCTGCAGCTCCCAACGTCCTCTCTTGACCTGGCCGACGCACCGTTCCAGTTCGCAGCCGCGCTAAATGGAAAGCTAGACCCGAAACTTTACCTCCATGGTCACGAAGATATCCTTGAAGCGGATGAGCTAGTGCGCCTCGAACACTGGAAGCAAGATCGCCGTCAAGACGTTGCTTTGCAATTGGCTGGAAGTGACATTCTGGTCGACCGCAATTTATGGAGACATATCTTTCCGGCCCTTTTGCAAGTATCGATGCGGGAATCATGTAACAGTGTCCTGCTCAACTTCCGCGAGAAAGTGGTTGCAGCTGCGAACCGATTTCATCAATTTGTGGTCCACTTGGCTGGCGTCAGCAACAGAACACCGTCCAACCTTCCTCAGCGTTCTGGCTCAGTTGGAGAGAAAGACATGTCCAGGCTGGTTAGCGACCACAGGCCTACAATCCAGCAATGGCATGCTTGGGTCAAGATCATATGTGCTACCGCACAAGTGTCCGATAACAGGCCTGCTGCGAATCACTCGAAGCGAGACCATTCCCGCGGATGGTCTGAGGTCAATGCTGAGAACGAGCAGATGGCGAATACACGCGATCTTTTCAAGTATTTGAGCCAATTTCTCGATTCCGATCATACTCTCTTTCGTGACGTCGCCGTCTCGAGCATCAGCCTTTTCCCAGCAAGTGGCTACTCACAGCTTCTGGAAGACCTAAGCATTCTTGCTTCCCGTCAGTTCTACGATGATACACGGTCGAAAGCAGCAAATGTCCCCGTCGTCGGACGTGCCCGCAGGCAGGAACGGTTCCATACGGCTGTTGCTCGCATCTACTACCTGACTGCTCATATGCTCGAAGATCAGCGATCATCAGGCAAGCAGACTGCGCTGACGCACGTCCTGAAGTATGTCCGAAACATGCAAGCGTTCCTTCTCGCCCCAGAGCATCGTGATTTGTTCTCCTTGCAAAGGCTTCGGCGCTACTTCTGTGGCACCGTACAGCGACTGTTTGATGGACTCGCTACGCTCAACGACTCTGACCGGTTCATCCCACCGAATATCCATCTGGCTTTGTACAGGCTCTGCGAAGAGTGGTGTCAGTTTGGCAAACAATCTGAGAACGTGACCAGGCGTCTCATCATCATGCAGACTGCAGCTGGCAAGTCTCTCACTGATCCAGCCGATCAAGCAGAGATCATACAGCGCTTCCAAACTGAAACGAAAGCCTTGTCATATGCTGCTGTAGGCGCAATGGCGGCTCTAAGTGTGAGTAGGTTTTGATAATGGTACTGCGTCTCGAGCGCTCAACTCGTCACTAGCACAAAGCGTACTTCCCTCCAGATCAGTCCTCAGGATCACCTACGGATAGAACCATGCTCGATACAATTTCTAAGCCTCTCCAAGCGACTCAAACCCTGGACCGAATCACTGCCATTCTCGCAAACTTCCATGAACCAGTTCAATCCGCAGGAAAGTGCGTGCCTTATTGTGTGCGATTTTGCTGACTTCGCTGATTTTCGAGTAGGAAAGCTCTTCGCTCACTTCTTGTCCATTCACATTCCGATAATGAACTGCTCGATGAAGTTCTTAGGAGAGCATTCGTGACCACCCGAGAATTGGACACCAGTAATGCACGATTCTTCGAAGTTGTCGCACAAGTCATTTGTATCAGTCCGCCAGTTCATGGCTTCACGTTCAGTCAAGCTGTCTGCCTTGGGCTATCGAACCTATGCCATCCCCTCCAGGAGATTCGCCGCCAAGCTTTCAACGTCTTGGAGGCGATACACGAGCAGTCTTGCGGCCTCATCTCATTGATGCAATATGAGGCGGCAGTTTGCAGCTCTGCCCCCAGTGCATATTTATATGCCCATCGTCTCATCTCCGATGTTCTCGCCGGAGAGCATCCAGATAAAGCCGTGAATGTACTTGCGCAACTTGCTGATTGGATTCCTCGCGCATTCGACAGCACCTCGGATAAAGGATCCCTCTTACTGTTGCAAAGCCTGGAATACTGGATACCGAGCATGAATCTCATGGATAGCACAAACTCCGCGTTGTCTCGGGAGGGTCGACTGGCCATATACCATCTGATGGCTCTAACACTGCGCTATGCCGAGAGCTACGCTGAGCAGGTACTGGTTCTTTGGACCCGGCTCGTTGATGCGCCTCACCAAGCAAATGGTTATGCTGTCATCAAATTTCTGCTGGAGCAGTCCCCGAAGGTGGGCAGCACTGTATTTATCAGCTGTGCTGCCAAAGTTGTTGCATGTCTTTCGCAAAGCGCGGTCAGCAATCTTGTGTTTGAGGAACTATGCGGCTTGCTGGATCCGTCTCGTATGCTGCCTACCTACGAACACAAGATGTCTCCACCAGATGCGGAAGAGCTTGAGGAGTGGTCCGATCTCGACATTCTGTTTTCTGAGCAGCCGAAGTTGACCTTGGGTCAGACACAGTTTGCTTTGCTTTTCCTCTCGGAAGCTGCGACGGAGCGATACTGGGGTTACGACGAGCAAATGCCTGTCCTCTTACACGCCTTATTCATGCACCTGAATTATCGGCACCCATTCATCCAGCAGCGCTCCTGGCACATGCTTTTCCAACTTCTCCGTTCTTGCATGTCCGGCTACGACGAGATGATGGATCGTTCACTTTATCGATCTCGCTCGGGGCTTAGATCAACAATAAGACAGCTGGAGCAGCAAGCTGACATGAGGGTCTGGAAGGAGGAGGAATCCAGGAGCCAAGCAGAATCCAAGTTGAGATGGTTGTCCGCTGAGGTTCTTGACCTGTTGGAGCCTCTCTATCCTAGACTCCGTTCTCACTGGGGCTCTTGGGCCTTGAGATGGGGCACAGCTTGCTTGAAGCGTGATCTCGCTTATCAGTCCTTGCAATTGTATAGGGTACTCAATCCTCCCGTCAGTGCGCAAGATATAGATATGGTACTAGGCCGTCTCGCAAGCACGGTCGCCGACGAAGATCCTAGCATCCAGAAATTCACTGTCGAGCTCATTTTGACGTTGACAGCATCGGCATCGTCTGACGATCTCGATGCTGCTCTTCTCCCAAAGCTCTACTGGGGCGCTGTCGCCTGTCTGTCGACGACCGTGGAAAACGAGTTCCTCCATGTCGTAGAGCTTCTTGACACATTGCTGTCAAGGCTGGATCTAGATGACCCACCGGTTGTCGATGCACTGCTGGAGCGAAAACCGTTGGCATGGGATGGATCCCTGTCTCTCCAATCCCGCCTCCTCATAGGGCTGCGCTCTTCCACGACATCGACACTCACGCTGAAGCTCTTACAGCGTCTGGCCGGTGTGGGCGATGGTCGGCTGATAGATTCCTCGGACGGACGTGTGCGAGATTTATACACTCTGGCGCTTCCTCTTTGTCTCCATGCGATGACAAACGGCTCGCAGGATCAGACATTGCAGAGCTTTGCTCTCGACATCGGGCGGCTCGCTGACGAGGAGGAACGACCAAGCATCCATCGCATCATGACGTCCTTCGCCAAAAGTCGTTTTCGCACCAAGGAGGACTTTCTCCGGGAGTCAGTTACCAGTCTTCGCGAGCATTATGGCTCTGAACATTGGACTGAAATCATCACTTTGTTGATGAGTCTGGTGCTGAACAAAGAGCAGTGGCTGCGGAGCAACACCATGAAGATTCTTAAGCTCCTGTTCCAGCAGCGCGAGACGAGAAGCCCTGTGAACCTGCTCGGGTCAGAATTGCTGATGCCTCTTTTGCGGCTTTTGGAGACAGATCTTGCGTCCGAGGCTCTTGATGTTCTCGATGAGCCCCTACAAATATCCGGCGGGCCCGCAGCGAAGCATGTGTTACGGATGAGCCTCTATCATCACCTTCGTGCCGACGCCAAGGAAGTCGACTCTGTCGCTGAAGTCTTCGGTGTTGCACAGGAGTCCGGCTGGTGTGTCCCACGACCAAGTTCACTTCGGGATGCGTGCAGGTCCAATCTGTACGCCGTATTCGATTCCTCCAAGCACGGCCGGCCATCTCGCATTGAGTTCTCCCCGGAGGAGATTCAGGCACCGCAGGACGATTCGCTTGACGACGATCTGGGCGACATGGTGCAGAACTTGCATGAGCTCAGCGCGTTCTTCCGGGAGGGGCATTCGCCTGGTCCTGTAGCCAACAGGCAGCTCGAGGCGCGCATCGCGGCGATCCTAGCGAAGTCGTCGGAGGACATCCCTCCCACGCCATTTGCGGATGCATTTGACGTCGAGAGTGAGGTGGGGAGCTCGACGTCGTACGAAGATTCGGATGACTCGGATTATGATACTAGTTCTGACCTGTTCGAGTTTGATTCCCCCGCCATGTCTCGGTATACATCGAATTCATCACATTAATCTACCCTACGTTCGTTTGTCATCGGATTCGTTTTTGCTTATTCGTAATCGCTCTTTATACACATTGTACTGTACTGTCTGTAGCTGTAGTGATACGCTAGCGGTCTCCGGAATAGATAAGTGGCTTATACCTCCTCCAAGGACTTGCTGATGAACGACCCTCCTGAGATCATCTCCGCGATCATTGCCATTGATGGTGATGACCGTGCGTGTGTGCTGTTCTTCGCAATATTGCATGTGAAGATGCACATGAGATAATTATGCTATGATATATTGTTACAGCAGGTGCCTCCACTGTATACATCCTAAGTTTATCTTCATTCGCTTGCTGATTATACTATTCTACTGTGCTTTGGGAGAGAAAGAGAGTGAACAGCCCATGAATTCTAACCACAGGAAGGCACCAAGGAATGTGTATCGTCGTAAGTCATTGCGGCACAAAGGAATGCTACGAATATGGGTGATGAAGCAGTGAAAGAGCTTGATGCTTAAAGCCGTATGCTGTTATAGCGAGTGCGCTTGTCTGCGGCGACGATGCTGAGTGACGTGCCAGGCACGGCTGAGAGACTGCAAAGGGCAGCAGAAGGTGCAAATGACCAACTAGGAGCGGGAAGAGAGGCCTCCCCATGCGCGCGGGAGTCCATCTCTCCTTTTCATATTATTATTGAATCCAGGGACGCCCATCGCCTCCCACCCTAGGCCCTCGCCGTCGTCCTCGTCGACGGACGTCCGCCGACTCAAGCCCCGCGTGCCATACTCGTTGCCATCTTCCCATGGCTTGTTCTGTTCACGGAGGTTACTTCGGCTGTGATGCAGGTGCCGGCGGAGGCTCTGGATCGAATATTGGCGCTTGGGCGGCACGAGCAGGCGTGCAAAGTCGAGTTCCGCGTCGTCTTCATCATCTTCGTCATCATACTCGTCTGATGGCGTGGTGGCGGCGATTGTACGGTCGACAGCGGCGATTGGCACACGTCGTCCGTCGACCCAGTGCGTGCTTAGGCTCCACGTGTCGTTCTCGATGCAGGTGCTCGCGAGTGTGGGCACGCCGTCGCACTTGCTAGCTCGGCGCACGTTCCGCCACGGTCTCCCTCGCTGCTGGCCACGCAGAGAGGAGCTGTAGCTTGCCCGGTCATCGCTGCGAGATGACGAACGCGATGCGGGTGCGGAGCGGCACAAGACTCGTGCGGTACTCACTGCACTCGGGGCGGCCCCTGTGGGCGAGAGATAGGATGTCAAGCCTAGAGGTGCACCGGATAGACTTCGCACTGTGGACGGTCGTCCTCGATTCGTCTTGTCGGCCAACGCATGCTTGCTCAGATTTTTCGCGCGCGTCGCCTGTGGAGTTGACCGGCTCAGGATCCGTGGTGTTTGCGGCCCGCCGACGTACGCATGGGGGGTACCAGAGGATGCGACAGCCTTCGCGACGGAGTCTCTCCATGTCGGTGGGAGAGAAGGCCGTCCCTCGACAGAGCTTTCGCATGTCGAGAGAGGGCGTCGGGAAATGGTGGGGACGGAAGCCATATGACGCAGGTAACCCTGTGCTGCCGAGACCTGGGCATATGTCCGCAGATTGCCCGAGGTTTGTGGACGCAGGGTCGGTGTATGCGGGTGTGGTTGCCGAGGGGGACGCCTACAGCTGATGGTGTGGCCGTCAGAGCTGATGGATGTGTGACTGCGCATGGATGGGGTAGACGTGCCCGACGCCGACAGTGGCGGCGATATTGGAATATATGGACTCGAGGTGCCGTGCAGGTCGTGCATGTGTGCGAGAGGAGAGGAAGGAACGGACCAGTGGCGCATATCCGGGCGTTGGCTAGAGGGGGTCGTGCGCTCGCCGCAGGAACTGTCCGCAGAACGATCACTCCTACCTGCACTTGGCATCCAGCTTGCGAGGTATCCGACAACCGTATCCACACCTCCACGGACGTTCCCTCTTCTGCGCTCCTCGCGCTCCGTCTCTGGAGTGTAAATTCGTGTCTCTTTGTAACCCGCCTCCCGGAGCAAGTCCTCGAGACATTCGTAGGTCTTCGACGTCCCGCGGCGGTGCAGCGGGACGCGTCCGGGGTCACCTCGTGAAAGTGAAGGGGGATAGCGCGATGTGGTGCGGCCGCGTAGAGGGGTGGATGACGACGAGCCGACTGTTGTATCCTCTGATGATTTCGAACTTGTCGCCTGGCCATCACTCTGCGGCATAATGCAGTTCAAAGAGTGTTCTATTACGTGTTTTGGCAAGAAGCATACCGGTTCATCTTCTGCGACAGCAGACATTACAGCCGCTCGTGTGCTTGCGATCTAAATGAACGAAGTCGTGTTCCGTCCGGCGTTAGCAGTTGCTCTCGCAGCCTGTATTGCCAGTGCCTGTCGATGCCGCACGCGACTGGCGGCAGTCGGTGCGCGTGGAGAGGAGTGTAGGACTTTGGACCCTCCAGCGTTGAACGTTGAACGTTGATGCGTTAAATAGAGGAGAGGGAGGTGAAGGATCAGAGGCGTTTGTGGCTTGTGGCTTGGGGTTGAGGCTCTCGGTTCGCCAGGTTATGTAAGGCAAGCATCACTCACGTGGCGAAAACGCGTCGCGTCACATCGTAACGGTCTGCGGCAGGTAACCCATTCCCTTATTGTCGCAATTGTATTTTGCTCGTCTCCTCAAATAGTCCATAGTATCGTCTGCCGGTCCTGGTGCATCCCAAAAGCAAGCTCGACAAAGGCAGATACTCATGAGCTCTATGCCGGTCCTAGCACTTCATCTTCGTTAAGACTTGTTCATTACCAAGTCTCGCGGACGAATGATCGTGGATATCACGCTGAGCTTTTCTCTGCTCAAAATTCACTGAGTCTGCCTTGCCTGCCTGAAAAGTTCAGAGAAGGAAAATCTAACGATGCGCCGAATAGCCCGGAACAATATCGCAAGATGGCCACTACCGCGCGCTCGCCATCTCCACCACCACCCGGACCTTTACCCATTCGTCGTCTCCAAGAATCTGTCATCAATCGCATTGCAGCGGGAGAAGTGTGGCTATTGTCTCTCGAAAGAATGCGTGGAGCTGACAGTGACGGAATAGATCATACATCGGCCAGCATCAGCGCTGAAGGAGCTCATTGAGAACAGCCTCGATGCTGGTTCCACCTTCATCCGCATCACTGTGAAGGATGGAGGCATGAAGTTGCTCCAGATACAGGATAACGGATGTGGAATTAGGGTGCGCCTATCGACTAGTATTCATAGGCAATACTTGCTAATGCAATGGCCATTCGCAGAAAGCAGATTTGCCCATCCTGGCAGAACGCTTCACCACCTCCAAGCTGTCAACATTCGCTGACCTGTCTCATCTGACAACCTATGGCTTCCGAGGGGAAGCTCTCGCATCTATATCATATGTCGCTCACCTGTCGGTCGTGACGAAGACCAAGACTGACACATGTGCATGGAAGTGCGCCGCTCCGCAGCCTATGTTTATCTTGAGAGCCGTGAGTGACGTCTGTATTCACCAACAGATCAAGCTATGCCGATGGCGCCCTCGTTCCTGCCAAAGTTGGGTCGCCTGCCGAGCCGAGACCATGTGCAGGGAATGACGGGACGACGATCACGGTAGGTGCGCCGTTGCCAATACTTGCCTACCGATCGTAAACATGCCTAGGTAGAGAACCTCTTCTACAACACTCCGACTAGATTGTCTGCCCTTCGTAGCTCATCGGAAGAGTATGCCCGCATCCTCGATGTCGTCACAAAATATGCGGTGCATAACCCGCACGTCTCGTTCACTTGCAAGAAGGTACTGCGCATCTTCTTACGACCCCATCAGGACTATACTAATCTGATGATAGGCTGGCTCGCCAACACCGGACGTCTCCACTCCGTCCGGTTCCACCACAGCGCAAGCTATTCGCTTGCTCTATGGCCAGACGATCGCCAAGGACCTGCTGCACGTAACAGTATCATCTTCATCGGATGATGAAGGCTCGGGCAATGCAAACGAGGATGCCAATTCCTGGTCAGCCGAAGCTCACTTCACGAACGCGCACTATCAGGCGAAGAAGACTGTCCTACTCCTGTTCATCAATCGTGAGTAACCATCCACAGACTGTACGCATACACCACTTGATGTGATCTTCATCACACTCTCAGATCGTCTAGTGGAGTCCTCTCGCATCAAAAAGGCCATGGAGGCCATCTACAATGGCATCTTGCCCAAAGGCGCGTCTCCATTCGTCTATCTCAGGTACTCCTCCCTCTCACGCTGAGAAACAATGCTGCTGACTCAAGTGCAGTCTGCAGCTCGATCCGCACTCGGTCGACGTGAACGTCCATCCAACGAAGCGCGAAGTGCATTTTCTGAACGAGGACGCCATCATGGAGCGCATCTCCGATGCCCTCCAGGGGAAGCTTGTCGGGGAGAGCCAGTCGCGCGTGTTTGAGTATCAGGTTCGTGCAGGTGGTGGAGAATGAGCTTGACTGCTGACGGTGACGTTGTAGACTCTCCTTACAGGCGGCGTCGCCGAAGTGCCGCGCGACAAGGGAAAGGGCAAGAAGCGAGCGCTCGACCAGGAGGACCGTGATGATGAGAACGAGGAGATGCATGAAGAAGGCTCCTCGACACCGCTATGTATGCCGTCCGCCATCACAACCGTCAGACCTGCTGAAAACAACATATATGACCACAGCTTCTATTCAACAGAAGAAGAAAGTGCTCTCGCAGCACAAAGTGCGCACCTCGCTGCAAGACCGCACGCTCGACTCGATGTTCGCGATCGTCAGTCCTTCGCAGCAGGCGAGCGGAGGCAGCGGGCCGAGTGGGCCGGAGACGCCGCCGAATCAGGTAGCCAAAGCGCGCGACATTAAGGAATCGCTGTGCTACTTGACATCGGTTCGAAACCTTAGGCAGGCTGTGGTTAAGGGAAAGCACCGCCGTAAGTGGAATATGAATCAGAATCGCGTATGTGTAGTAAGGTGGTTGTTCGTCACAGAGCTCAGCGAGATCTTGGAAAAGCACACGTTCGTCGGGATCGTGGACGTCAGTCGATGCCTCTCCCTCATCCAACACTCGACGAAGCTGTATCTGGTGAATCACGGCGCTCTAGCGTAAGTTGTTCTTCCACTGCTTTTGTACATATATCCTGATATTATGACGGCTTGTCTGGTGCAGAGAGGAACTGTTTTACCAGCTCGGGTTGCATCAGTTCGGCGACCTCAGACGGTTGAAGCTCGATCCTGCGCCATCGTTGCGGACGCTCATCGCTCTTGCGGTTGACGTGGAGGAAGGCATTGAGCGCAGCGGGCTAAGCAAGCCGCAAATCGTCAATGTAAGTCGCCAATGGCGGTATCTCCGAGTTCATTTCCCGACACCCATTGCTTACATTCTTGATATAGCGCATAGTCGATACGCTGGTTGAGCGCCGCGAGATGCTCGACGAGTACTTTTCGCTTCGCATCAGCGCCGAGGGCGTGGTCGAGAGCCTGCCGATGCTGCTGAGGGACTATACGCCCAACCTCGACAAGCTGCCGCTCTTCCTAATGAGGCTCGGGCCTCAGGCAAGCACTCTCTTTCTCTTTTATTCCATCCTATGCTGACGAGCATTCTAGGTTGACTGGACGTCCGAAAAAGAATGCTTCGAATCGTTCCTTCGCGAGCTCGCGTATTTCTATGTCCCAGAGCCGCTCATAACACCGTCCGCGACAGACGCAGACACGGAGCTGTCCGAGGAGGAGAAGGCGGAAGACCGTTCGGTGCAGTGGCAGATCCAGCATGTGTTGTTCCCTGCGATGGCGCGGTATCTGGTCGCGCCGAAGTCGCTGTTGGACCGCGATGTGGTGCAGGTGGCGAACTTGCCGGACTTGTACCGTGTTTTCGAGAGGTGTTGATATGTGTGAGTGGTCCTTGTGCTGTGCTCCGTTTGGGACGTCGTGATGCTTCAAACGAAATAGTTGTCCTCCCCATTGTTGCATGATCAAGCTCTAGAATTTTCATTAACCCGGAGGGGATAAGATGCGCTTCGTCTTCGTTTGGCTTGATCTTGGCCCTAAAAATACCCGTATATGCACAGCAACTGAACTGATGGAGCACATGGCACAGCACACTCGACGCGTCTCCAGCAGGGAAAAGCGGTTTTGATCTCTGATGCACTTCTGCTCTCCGTTACCTCTTTGAATACAAGAATATAAACATCCAATACTCAACCCTTGGTACCGTCGTCTCCTGCTGTGTCCAACACTTCTGTCAAGACAGTCCCCCTCTTCGTGTCAGACGTACTATGTCCAGCCTTTAACCGATCGCAGTGTATGATGCAGCGGACGAGGATATCGTAGAGGTACGGTGACTGTAACGCGAATCACACGTATTGCCTCTCGACATGCGCCTAGTGGAGGGAGGAGTGCCAGATTGGTCAACGATGCTAGTCACGATGAGGTCAACGGCACTAGCACCGCTTTTCATGCTGAGGCGCCTTTTTTTTAGATCAAGAATGCATACGTAATGTCCTGAAGCGCGATCGCGATCGCGGCGGCTTCCCATAGCTCCCCAAGTACACCTTCATCAGCACGATCCCTGCTTGGATGACAGCCAGAAGTCTCCTTGTTCGCAATCACTATCCCCTACGACGTGCACGTCTCGCCCATGCCAGCTTGCTCACTCGTTCTTGCCGCATGCTACCTTTTGACTGGGGCTGTTGGTGTCTTCAAGAACTTCCTAGCCGGTACACTAGTTCCATGGCATTCTGCATTCTGAAGCTCGCTCGTGCCAGCGTTACTGCCGGCGCGTCGGGAGGAGATACTGTAGACGATATCCAGTAAGGGCAGTATGATCGCGTCACTTCTCAGGATTCTCGCAAGTACATAACGCGTACGCCTCCTCTAGATTTTCTTTATGACATTCAACTGGCTTTCTAAACGTTGACTGACTTATTCCGGAGACGAGACCGGGACCTCAACTGATCAATCCAGGGATATTGTGAAGTGCTGATATGCCGGTTGCGACGAGAGAATTGGGCCTGGTAGCTCGGAATAGGGCTATCGCGTGGAAGACCTGAGCTCGGAAACGGCTTGAATCGGCTACGTGGTGCGCGCGATAGAGGGACAAGCCTTTTGCGCGATAACCGCGATGTCCGGATTTCCTACCGCTAGAAGATCGGATTCATGAGCGTGAAGCGGCTGTAGTTGACGGAAGCGAGGTAGCACGATTGAATTACCACTCGATGCTAGGAATGTGTCGGTGTGACGCGGTATGACGAAGATGTGCGGTCCGTCTCCTTCGTCCATTTGCCAGTAAGCAAACATCCTTCCCAGTACTCATTCTTCACGCTGTATACGAATTCCAACCAGTCTGACGGTCACAATGAACTGCGACAGCATTCAACTTTGGATCACGGTGATAAAACCAGTTTACTGATATCGCTTCGTGCCTGATCCCATCTATGCTTCCACAGGGGGCGGACGCTAGAGTAGCTTGACAGGCGCTGCGTTTCCGGTGCATGAAGCGGCGGTGTTCATCGTAGATGGCGAGGAGACGCGCTCGATCGAGGAGTTGCACTTCACAGACCAACCTGAAGTGCATGCTCCCGTCAAATATTTCTATATAACGGTCGTCCGATCCCAAATGGCTTCATTCTTCGGTGCCCTACGATCATGATGGAGATAAGTGTTTGTTGTCTGGTTGACCCTCCCCTCTTTTCACAGACTTAGGCTAATGCCGAGGCGATGCCTGCGCCTTTCGTTTGTCAAAATCAAATTACGCGGAGACCACAATGCTCTGCCCTCAAAGTCCGCTTTGCATCGAACACTATGAAGAGTTCTCCTACGACGTGGGTGGGCGCCGCGTGCGTGAATATCCTGCGATGCAAATACAAGAGGGCGAAGCGGAGACTGTAGGGACGGGCATGCTGAAGGCAGGGCAGGACGATGGCAGCGCGCGCTGCTGGGTGAATGGAGAGCTGAACGCGGAGCGGCCGCCGACCAAAGTCGAGAACTTGCTAGGATCCGAGTGCGTGAATTGGAGTATATGGCTATGTGTCCAGACGAGTATCTTCTACGAGGACGCGAGCGGCCAGCCATATCGCGCGGAAGTACTAATATGAAGCAAAATGCCAGTGTCTTCAAATGCGTGGCAAACACGTTCATGATGGAAGCAAACTATATTTCGGTCGGTACTCGATGGACGATATGAGTACAGGAGCGTGCGCTCACCTTCATGGTTCCATGGGCGCCGACCACTGCCACACCCGAGGAACAGAATCGGCGTCAACGAGAGCGTAGTTCAATCCTGCGCCGGCGATGTTCAGGAAGCTCTACAGATGCAAAAATGAGTCCCATCCCCGCACGTAGTAGCGCGAGATGAGTGTTAATCGACAGAGACTGTGATGTTGCCCAGGCCGGAAGGCAAAGAGTGCGAGCGTCCGTGTTATTGTTAACGTTCAGCGCTCAGCGCTCAGCGGTCGAATGCTATGTATATCCTAGTAACATCCTACTACCGATCAAACATGTGCTTGCGAGCTGTGCATAGTCCACCCACATATACCTAGCCTTGCGGACCTTGCACCCCCTTCCCTCTCATCCCCATCCTCTCGCATCCCCTGCATTCGGACATTTCGTCAAAGCTACACTTCTGCTACACTCTGTGATCACTGAGAACTTGAAGTATCCGGCGGATTTTCCAGTCCTCGAAGCGCAGTGCGAGGCCAACAAAGATGAACAAGCACACGCCTGAGCATCGCGCACACTTCCCTTCTGACAGTATGGATACAACTCCCAGAAACATTGATGAGCCATGCTCTGAGCCATCCAGTCCTCCAACTGTGCCCACCTCGGAGCATTCTGACTTCACTGTACCTAGGTGAGATAACATCTTTCATGCACTCAATGTATTTCAGTAATTCAATGAACTTGTGATATCACAGAACCTCAACAATCTTCTCCGGGTCATATCCTCAATTTCTGTATATGCTTGAACAGTGAGCCTTTCTTCATGTCAAGTCTTACATATTTGTTATCTATCTGTCAAGATCCTCACATGCAACTGTGTCAACTGGTGTGGGCGCAATTGGTCTTCTATTGACAGAAGAATTTCAACTCCTGTAGGTATCACTGAATTGATGATATTATTATGTCTCACACTGCTCATGATAAAAAAAGGAAAAAATTCAATCTTGAAACTTACATATTGTTGAAGATGGCATATGATGAGGTGAAGGATATCAATGCTGGGTATGTGATATTTTGCCCTGAAATGCTGTGGCAGCTCTGCTTATGCTATATAATCAAGAAAATTGCTGCACAGCATCATCAGACTTGTATTGGATGATAGCACAGAGAATGAAGAAGCAGTACAGTATGTGTGCAGATTCTACAAACACAAGTTTAATCATTAATTAAAACACAGACTACAACACAACATAAACCTCAATGCATTCACATCAGCCATGGATAGTGACACAGGTTTATTGCAAATGCAAAACAGCATTCCAGACATTTTCACTGTTGCTCTAGGACATCTTGCTCAACAGCTTCTGAAATCTTATGATAAATCACACTTTCAAGATGAACTAAAAAAGACAATAATGATAGCAAAGGTTTCATTTCAGCTAGCTTCAGATGCTTCTAAAAACAAGCATATTCATGGTCACATTCTTGCGAGAGCTCTTGAAAAGCAATTTGATCACACTGGAGACCTTGCAGATATTGACCAGGCCATTGCTGTACAGCAAGATGCAATGCAGCTCATATCAGATAATCATACAAACAAGCCCAATTATCTTGGTGACTTTGGCACCTTCTTTGGAAATCGCTTCAAACATTCTGGTAATCCTTCAGATATTAACCAGGCCATTGCTGCACTACAAAATGCAGTGCAGCTCACACCAGATGGTGATGCAAATAAGCCTGTCCATCTCCACAACCTTGGAACCTCCTTCTCATTTCGCTTTGATCAGCTTAAAGATCTTTCAGATGTTGACCAGGCAATTGCTGCTTATCAGAATGCAGTGCAGCTCACACCAGATAATGATACAGACAAGCCTAAATATCTTGACAACCTTGGAAGGTCCTTATCAATTCGCTTTGAACATTTTAAAGA